GACCGGGAATCAAACCGGCGACCTCTTGGTGCATGGGTCGACGCTCAACCACTGAGCCACACCGACCAGACAGGGCCCTTCTTTGCCTCTATAACCTGTCTCCTGGGCCTATTTCTTCCACGGCTCACTTCTTCTATCTCTGTGACTTTCTAAATTAACTTTGTCTTATAGTTTGAGTCTTGACACTGAATTCTTTCTTAGCCAGAACTCAAGTACCGAGGTTGCTGAACCGAGGCCCGGTCGGACTCCACTGGTCTAACAACTGGTGCCGTTTCTGCCACCAACAGGTGTTCTAGGCCTGCACTATGCATCGTGGTCACCACGAGCAACGTGGCCATGTGCGAGATGGAAAAACATAGTGACAACTGCAGGTGTGGCAACACCAAACCACCAAAACTGCGGTGGAAAAAGGAAGCCTTCCCCTTCCCACCCAGAAGGGCACCGAACTTGGCAGGACAGGGGCCCTGCCCTTCCCCAGCCCTGCTGGCGTCCCCACAACCTGGGAACAACACCTCCTTTCTCTGAATTTAAGAAAAACAGCCTCCTCTGGAAGCAAAGCTTTTAAACAGATGTTTCCTCTTGGCCTGAACCACCCACACCTCCCCCAGCCGGGCCTCCCCTCCAGGCGGGGCCAGCTCGGCTCTCCTGCGAGGCAAGGCGCAGGGGAGACCACATGATTTCAGTTCTTTTTCAGAAGGGGGAGGAAAATATTAAAAAAACGTGTTTTACAAGCCTGCCTTTGCCATTGTTTATGTAAACAGGTAAATTGTTTCCTGCCTCAATTAAAAACATCTGCCACATAAATGAATACCAATTAACTCATCCTGTTTTTAATTACTCTGTTAATTACACGCAGGCAGCAGAAAGGATGGCTGGAGTAGAGAAGCCGAGTGCCATCCCTCCCCCCCCAGCTTGGCAAGGATCCTGAATGTGTCTGGCTCCTGGAGGATGAGGGTGGCAGGGAGGTGGTGGCACCGAGCCAGCCAGGATTCCCCGAATCGGGACTGCCGCCGGGGCCCCTCCTGCTAGGGTCCTCCTGCGCAGAGGGCCAGTGGTCAAGGGTGTCCTGTGTCCTGGCTCACGCCAGGGAGGGTGGAGCCCCGCTCTTGGATGCCCTTTCTGCCCCGCCTCTTCCTGCCCCTCAGCCTCCTCCAGCCCCAAGACTCCACCTTTAGGCCCTGTTGTCACTGGAGAGGAAGGAGGGACCTTAAGGGTGTCCCACTTATGTCCTGGACACATTTTGTTCGGGCAGGAAGGCAGCTGGAGGGACGGAGCCTGGATCTCACCCAGGAAGGCCTGCCTCAGAGGAGAGGGAGCAGAGTCTCCCCTGAAGAGCACCGCGACTCAGTGAGCACCTGCTGAGTGCCCAGAGCCTTGCACGTGGCTGCAGGCCTCCCGGGAAGCATCCTTATCCACCCCCCCCTCGCCGGCCTGTCATGTGGCTTCTCCTTCCCCTCAGACTTCACTGGGTTTGCAATGTCACAGCCTCTTCTGCTGCTTCCCCGTCAGCCAGCCCGGGGGCATGCAGGAGGTGCTCAGCACATGCTCACTAAGTGGAACAGGCAACCTCACCCATGAACCCTCCCTGAGGACACGTCATTATTCCCACTTATGCAGAGGCCAGGAGGGTCACGTCACCCGTGCCTGCTGGAGCAGGGCTTGAACTGCAATTCCAGGGCTTGTCATCTATATCACAGTGGGCTAAACGCACGTGCCCACATTGTCCCAGGGAGTCAGGTATGGGATGGACCCTCGAGTCTGCAAGTCAGACAGATCCTAGGGGACCACACTTTGGGCAGTGGGGCTCCACATCCACGCCCCAGGTCTCCCCTTCCAGAGGCCTCTCCCAGTCCCAGGATCGTACATCCTGCCTCCCACAGGCACGTGTGGTTGTCGGACACTCTCCCCATCTTTGCCCTCAGGTTTCCACGGCTAATAGGCGCTGAAATGATCAGAGCTGGCTGGGGCTCAGAGCCCATCCAACCAGAGGAGCTAATAGGTTTTCGCTCGGATGCAAGTCCGATCGAACAGGGCACCAGAGCTGCTCTGGAAGAAGGATGCTGCCTCAGGCAGGCTCAAAGAAAAGGAGTGTGTGATCAATTAGTGATGTCTGCCACCACCAAGCGCGTGGGCAGAGATCGATTAGCCATGTCTGCCACAGGCATCAGATTAACAGCATGAAAAGGCACCCACACATTGGCGCATTAAGATCTAGTCCACCCCTCACTTTGCAGATGGAAAACGTGAGGCTCACGGTGTTCTAACAGTCTGCTTCTTCAACTACCTGTGGGTGTCTGCTCAGGGGGCCATCTGTGCCCTCTCTGAGGGATGGGTCAACCATACACAAATGAACAGGCCAGAGTCCATCCCACACCTGTCCCCTGGGCAAATCCCTTCCACAGACTGCTTGCATCCCTTAGACACCAGCTGCGAGTCCCCACCTGAAATCTTCTCCTGATGTTGCAGTGAGGAGAGGGAACAGCCAATGCTAAGTGGCCAACAAAAGATCAACTCATTGAATCCTCCCAACAGCCCTGTGAGATCATTCTGTTACGTAACGGATGAAAAAGGAAAACATCTTACACTCCCATCTTACAGATGGGACAACCAAGGCACAGAGAGGTGAAGTAACTGCCCAAGGCACACAGCTGGGGAGGCCAGAGTGGGGTTCTTACCCAGTCAGTGCAGCTCCGCAGGGACCCCAGCTGGAGCTCACACCACTGCCTGGACCCACTGTGGTCTCTCCAAACATCCAGTCTTCCCAATTTGGCAAATGGGGAGAGAGGGACCTCGAGGAGCCTCATAACATGCCCCTGACGATGTGGACTGGCTGCAGACTGGTGAGGGGTGGGCGTGACTTTTGGGTTTGAAGTCAGGTGTCCATTCACTGTCTGGCCAGTGGGTACCTTTGCATGGCTGGGCTTGAATTCTCCTCGTGAAATGGGGGGACCCTCACCCTCTGCCTTGAAGCGTGGATAGGAGGATTATAGGGCTTCCTACAGGCCTCTCTGCTCCCTGCCTGCCTCCCCTTCTAGGCAGGACACCGAGCTGAATTCCTGCATGTTGCCTGGTGGTTTCCTGAGCCGCGGTGGGCACACCCTACCCGTGGCTGCGCCCTGAGACCTACATGGGGCGGGAGCCTAGTTCAGACCTTCTGCAATGCACATTTCCTTTCAACACCCACCGGCCACCGTAAGGGTCGGGGACATTTCTCTGGGGCCTTTTAACCAATTTGAACAGTAAAGCAACCTAATAGCAGTCAAGTCATCAAGGGGGGGGGGGCTCCCCAGCAGCACATCGGGGCCCTGGGCCTGTTGGAGCAGGAGTCCTGGGCCGGCTCCCCCTGCCCCCCGACAAAGCCAGAGCCGTGTCCATGCCCAGGAGGCTCTGTGAGGAGAAGCCAGGAAGCAGAACCCACCCCAAGGCCTGTCCTTTGGGTGAGAGACACCCCCTGGCAGTCCCACAGCCCTGGGTGGTCCAGGCCTCAGGGAGGCCTCCGCACTTGCAGGGAGGAGCCCAGAGAGCTCACTGGTTGGGACTTCAGATTGGAGATGGCTGCAGGGAAACCTGCAAGGATCTCGGACCCAGCAGCTCCCTCGCCTGGGATCTGAGTACCAAGGGGTCAAGGGCCAGGCAGGGGCTCATGGGGGTGGACCCAGAGTCAAGGGCTGGGCTCCACCCCCGAGAGGTCACGTCTGCTGTGGAGAGGCCACATCGCCAGGTTTGAACCCCAGTGACCTTGGGCCAAGACTTCACCTCTCTGCGTGAATGACCCCACGCAGGGAATCACCTGTTGAATGAATGAATGAGGGGTGGCTGACCTCACTGAACCCTGAAGGTGGGGCCTCCTCCCACCCAGCTAGACATTTCTCATTCAAAGTCGAAGAAGGATGTTTTCCATCCCCTCAAGGGTGACATGGACAGAGGGACAGTCCTGGGGGGGGACCAGAAGCCACTGGTCAGTGAGTGCTCACTGTGGTCAAGCCCGGGGCTCAGAGTCCACACACTATACCAGCCCTTAGGCAGAATCTCGGGGCGGATTCCAAGGGGCAGAGCGAGGGCAGGTGCCTGCCTGGGGGCACACAGTGGGGCCTCACCCACGAGCCCTCACCTCCCTGGCCCCAGAACAACAGGCCGGGTCCCCAACAGCAGAGGGTCTGTTTCCAGCCCTGCCTGAGCCCCCTCCCCCTAGTCTTGGGAAGGTGCCAGGCAGGCAGATGGGCCTGGCGCTGGTGCAGCCGGGGTGGCAGCTGCTCTGGGGGAGAAGAGCGAGGAGCCAGGCTCCACTGCCTTCCTCCCGAGTGCGGAACCTTCTGGATGTTTTGACTCTTCCTACCAAATGGTCTCAGAACCTCCATGAGATGCGGGGTGGGGTCCTGCTGAGTCAAAACAGCGCTCAGGAGGTTCTGTGGGGGGTGAGGGGACCGTCCTCATGCTCTTCTCATCCCAAGGCGAGAAGCTTGGAGACTGGTGGAAGGTGCCATTCCCATTTCTCAGCAGGGAAAACTGAGGCTTTGAGAGGGTAGGGACGTGCCTGAGGCCACACCGCCGGCTCCAGGGTTTCCCCGCTGAAGCCTAACAGGTTGGGCCAGGGGATGTCTGTGAGCCTCTGTGGTACCTGCAGAATGGGGCCGTGCATTTTTCTGGGGGCTCCAGAGCTGCATCAACTTCTTGGGGCCACTGTACCCTCATTTCCAGTACGGTCTTCCTGAGTCTGGGAAGTGGGAAGACCCTGACTGCTGTCAGGCTGCGGGGTGCACACCCTCCCCCCTGGGTAGTGTGAACATTTCCCTACGGCTGTTCCTAAGGGAGAGGCGGACAGCGGGCCAAGACAAGGCTCTCCGTCATCTCCAAGGTGTCCCCACACCTGGCCTGCGCCTGCCGGCAGGTCCCTCCGCACGGCGGAAGGAGCGTCCCCGGCTGCAGAACGGTCTCCGCCGAGGCGCGTGCTCCGGAGCAGTTGCGGGGCTCACTCTCCCTGGAACTCAGACGTGACTCACCAACGGAACCCAGCTTCTGGAAGCTGGCGCGCGTGGGTTCCATCAGAGTGACAGGCTCAGTGCTGAGCAGTGAGGAGCAGATCAGGGTTACTCTGGCTCCTAAAAGAGATAAAGAATCCCTCCGCGATGCCAAGCTGGACAGACCTCTCCATCTTCTGACCGACGCCACGAAGTGCAGGTTTCAGGAGACAAGCGGCCATCCCTCCACCTCCTCCCGCGTGGCAGTGGTCACCAGGCCAAGCTGTGGGAAATGTTTTGACACGGAGGTTCGCCACGTGTCCTATCAACACAGGTGACCTGTGGTCAGCCAAGAGCTTCATTTAGGAAGAATGTGGGTGAGCCCTGAACCTGCCAGCCACGCGTGGAGCTGAAGACGAGCCAGTGGACTGTTCCTGGTGCCCGGGGAGGCCTCCCCGCGGGCTCCCACAGAGAGGGGTTCGGTGACTCTGAAGGGTCTCCACGGGCCCGTGAGCTGGGGATGCCATCGGGAGGCCTGGAGGCCCAACTGTGAGTGGGAATCTGGCTCAGGGGCAAATGGGTCACTGCCGAGTAGTTATCAGGGTGGTGCGTCAGAGAGATCCCACAGGCTGATAGGACAAAGCCAGGCTCAGGGAAACGCTGTCTTTTCCTGCTTTCGTGTTCACACCACCACCTCTGGCTACACAAAGCCCACAGCGCCCACAGCGCGGCTCCCATGCCGGCCTTTGTCACCTCCCTGCCCTCCTCCCAGCACCTTCCCACCCACAGGGCCCCTTGGCCGGTCCTCAGACCTGGCCAGAAAGGCTGTGTCCTGATGGCGGCCTGGTCCCCTCCCCTTCCAGGCCTCAGCTCACCGTCACTATCAGGCAGGCGTGACCCGACAGGACAGTGTCCTCCCACCGAGCCTGCGACCCTCCCGGGGCCCTCGGTGGCGAGATCGCTGGTCTCCTTCGTTCACTATCTGCCTCTCTCCAGAGGAGCAGCCCCTCGAGGGCAGGGGTCTGCCTGCTTGATTCTGGGGCAGCGCCCATGTGGTTACTGGTGAAAGGAGTCAGCATGCACCTGAACCAGTGACACTGTAACGAGAGACCTGTCTCACGACATGTCACCCAGCTCCACGCAGTGACTCCCACCCCTGGGTCAGCCTCCTGGGCCTCATTCAGGGAGGAGACAACAGCTGGAAACTGAGGCCACTGAGGCCCACCCTCCGGACACCCCACCACCAGGCATGGTCAGAGGAAGAGGAAAGGACCGAATTTCTGCTGCACATTGAGAGCTGCTCTGTCTTCCGATCTGGAGAGAAATGAAAAATAATTCTCCTGTGTACTCTGGCCAGGACCTGGGTACTCCAGCCTTCCCCATGTCCAGACAGGCTGGGGAAGGGGAGGGTCTATCCGTCCTTCTCCAGGGACCTCCCCACGGGTCTCCTGCCCTGTGTGGGGTCAGACCGGGGTGTCCGGGGGGACAGCAGCTGCGTCAGCTGATGGGGGCCACACGGCCAGCACCCGATCCTGGTTCCACATCTGACAGCTTCCATACTTCTTTGGGCGTCTCCCTGCAGGAGGTGGGCTCTGGTGCCCTCCCACCCACACCACATGGACTCCTTATGTATGAGGAGTCCCGTCCTGGGTGGCCAGGGGGAGGGGCCACATGGAGGTGCTCTGTCAACAGCCACCTACCTGGCACCAACACCGGCCCAGGACACCCTACATAGCTGGGCCTTCTGTGCCAGTAACCCCAACGGCCAAGGCCAGCAGCCAAGGCTCCAGACACCCCGAGGCAGAGACACAGTGTCCCCACCAGGCCCTGCCCAAACCCCTGACCCGAGCACCCCGGAGCACAGAGTGTGCACGGTTGTTCACACTGCGCTTGGGGCGGACTGACCAGCCGCAGGCGGAACTGGACGGCTGCTCTGCACAAGCGCCCAGGCCTGTTCTAGTGAATGTTTCTGGCATCACTTGGTGCGGGGAGGTGCTCTCTCCTGTCGCGGAGCGAGGACTGGCCTGAACTGAACCCCTGAGAAACATCTGTTGGGGCGTGAACAATGTCAGGTGTATAGACTGCCCAGGTTGACCCTAAGCTGCTTCCTTGCATGGCCCCCACGCAGGCAAGTCTCAGTGACTCTGGCGCTGGGGAGCAGACTTGGTGACGAGATAACTGTTGGTGGAATCAAATACAGTGACAGCTTGCAGGCAGACGAGCTGCTGTTCAAACAAGCCTCTCTAAGCACCCGGCGAGGGCGTCCCCACCAGCCAGGGACCCTGGGCAGCAGCGCCTGTGAGCTGCAGCGGGGGGCTCCCAGGTGGGACACGTTCCTGTTCCTCGGGGCCTCCTGCATACAGTGTTCTGGGGGGGGGGGGTAGGGAACACACAGATGAAAGTCCTGCCCTCCCAGAATTGACCTGCCAGGAGGGCGTCATTGGGGTGTGCAGGGGAAAAGGCACAGCTCAGGGAGAGTGGGGGTGCTGTGGAGAAACAGCAGGGGCAGGGCTCTCACTGAAAGGGGATCCCTGAGAGCCCTGATGGAGGGCAGGTGGGAGCCAGGCAGGTGTCAGGGAGAGCGCCCTGAAGGCAGAGGAGCTGCCACTGCAAAGGCCCTGGGGTGGGAACGTGCCGGTATGATTAGGAAACAGCAAGAATGGTGGATTTCAGTGTATAACTGGGGGCAGGGTCGTGTGGCCTCAGAGCTTCTGTGACAATTTAGTCTGTCCCTGGAGCGGCCACATCGGACTGGCACCCCTCTGGCTGCCATGTGAGGACCCCAAGCTACTTCCCAAATGAGGGGCAAGGAGAGAAGCTGGGAGACCAGACGCAGAAGCTTGTTCATGCCGTGAAGGTTAGACGCAGGTGCTGGGGAGATTCAGTAACTGTTTATGGAACCAAATACAGTGACAGCTTGCAGGCAGACGAGCTGCGGCTGTTCAAACAATCCTCTCCAAGCACCCGGGGAGGGCGTCCCCACCAGCTGGTGACCCTGGGCGACTTGGCTCACCACCCCAGGCCACAATGTGGTCACCTGTGAAAAGAAGATGGCCCTGGCCACCCTGACAGGCTCGAGGGGAAGCATGGGCAACCAGGGCAGGTGGCTCTTCCTCATTCGTCCCTTGGAACCCAGTGGACACCGAGGTAAACCTTGAGTGACCACATGACCCAGCAACGCCTCTCAGTGTTATGCCTAAGAGAACGGAAAACACGTCCACGTGAAAACCTGCACATGCGTGTTCCATGCACCATCGCCGAAAGGTCGAGACAACCCAGATGCCCATCAGCTGATGACGGACACACAACACGCGCCTCCCCATGCAACCATACATCATTCGGTCATTAAAAAGCAGCGAGGTGCCGACACGTGACAACATGGACAAATCTCGAAAACATGCCACTGAGTGAAAGAAGTCAGTCACAAAAGGCCACGGAGTGTAGGAGTCTATTTACGTGACATGTCCAGAACAGGCCAATCCATTGGGATGGAAAGATTACTGGCTGCCAGGAGCTGGAGGGAGGGAAATGGGGAATGAACACAAATGGGTATGAGGTCTCTTTTTGGGGCGATGACAAATTTTGGGAACTAGACGGTGGCGACGGTTTCACAACACTGTGACTGTGCTCAATGCCACTGAATTGCACACCTAAAAACGGTTAAAATGGTGGAATGGAGGTTCCTCAAACACTCAAAATAGAACGACCATATGTCTCAGCAATTCCACTTCTGAAGACATACCAGAGAAGTAAAAGCAGGATTGTGAAGAGAGCTTTGTACACCCATGTTCACAGCAGCATAATTCACAAGCGCCAAAGGGTGGACCAACTCAAGTGTCCACTGACGGAAGAAGGGATAAACCAGAGGTGGTCTCTCCAGATAACATTCAGCCTTCAAGAGGAAGGGAATTCTGATAACAGGTGACAGCAAGGATGAACCTTGGGGACATGATGCTCATGGAGATGAGCCAGTCACAAAACGACAAATACTACATGATTCCACTCCGGTGAGGTCCCCAGAGGAGTTGAATTCACAGAGATAGAAAGTAAGCCGGTGGGTGACAGGGGCTGGCGGGCGGGGTGGGGACAGAGTTTCAGTTTGGGAAGGTACACTCTGTGAGTGGATGGTGGTGAGGGCGCACAGCAGCGAGAACGTACGTAATGTCGCTAAGCTGTACACGTCACAGTGGTTAAGACGGTACATTTTCTGTTCTGTGTATTCTAGCACAACTGTAAAATCCCCCGTGGGGACTGAGGCCAGGCAGGCTGGGACCGCTCTGCCCCTCCCTCTAGGAGCCCGTCCGTGTTATTAACAGCACCAGCTCGGTGTGAGGGACACTGGTGTGAGAGGGCCAGGTGGCCTTCCTCCCCGGGCGGCGCTGACGTGGGGAGGCCACAGCCTCCCTGCCCAGGCTCACTGCTCTTCTCCACCTGGGGACTGAGCGTGGGCAGGGAGGGGCTGGTGGACCAGGAATGAGGAGGGCAGGCCAGGCCCTGGCAGGCTGGTGATGTGGGGGCCTTATTATCTCTGCCTCAAAACACCCCCATATATGCAGGCATGCCCTTAGGGGGCCAGGAGGGGCCCGACGGGAGGGTCTGATGGGGCTGAAGGCCACTGTGATGTGAGGAGCACCACGCAGGAAAGGAGTTGGGGGCACCTGCAGGACCTGAGGCTCTAGCAGAACCCGATGAAAGCCCTCCGTACATGTGACATGAAGATAAGTCAAATCCAGGACGTCACAGTCACCCCCTCAGCCTCGACGCCCCAGGGCCAGCCTAAGCTCGACTCAGAAAGGGAAATCGAGTCACCCTGACCAGCCTGTGCCAGGTGCTGTGGAGGGCGCCTCTGCATGATTGTTGAAATTCCAACCGGAAGTTTCACGTGGAGAAGCTAAAGCCAGAAAAATGCCCAAGTGAAGGGCTAGCATGCAGGCTGGTTTAGGATTTGGGCATCTGACACCCCAAACTAGGCTCTCCCATGACAAATCCATGCAGATGCAGAGTGACAGGCATCCTAGGACAATGGTGTAGGTATACAGTAACAGGCATCATGAAACAGTCCATGTAGGTGTGTGGTGACAGGCATCCCGGGGACAGTCCACGTTGATGTATTGTGACAGGCGTCCTAGAGACTGTGTATGTTGTAGTCACAGGCATCCCGGGGACAGTCCATGTTGATGTGTAGTGACAGGCGTCCTAGAGACAGTCTATGTGTATGTGTAGTGACAGGTGTCCTAGAGACAGTCCACATGTGTGTAGTCACAGGCATCCTGGGGACAGCCCATGTAGCTCTGTAGTGACAGGCATCTTGGGACTGTCCAT